TCTCTCTCTCTCTCTCTCTCTCTCTCTCTCTCTCTCTCTCTCTCTCTCTCTCTCTCTTTTCGAGCTTTCTTCGCCCTAGTCGAGAGTAACTTGTTGACCGGATGCGTTGAAATTTTAAACCAGCCGTAGTAGAGTGGAGAAAAGAGCGAGAGGGCCTTCTCGTTTTTCCCTCCGTGAATCCCGATAGCTTTTCTCGCGTTCCCATCTCTCGCGAGCTAGAGAGGTATAACTTGTTGACTTTTCTCTCGCTAGGGCAAACGCGACGGTTTCCACCCGTGTTACGTAAATCGAATTTGAATTTCTACCATGATCTTTGCCCTACCTTCTCTTCCTCCCCCTCTCCCCTCCCTCTCCTCCCTTCCCCCCTGCCCCTCCGCTGTAATATTCGCCGTGGAAACCGATGTAACCTGCCACCTTGTGTGTGTGCGCCTTTTTTTCCGGTGTGTGCTCTCTCCCCGACCCTTCTCCTTTCCGAAGCGAAATTGAAAGCAAAAAAAAAAAAAAAAAATTCCTCGATCTATTCATTGTATGCACATTACAAAGGAGGAGGAGGAGGAGGAGGAGGAGGAGGAAGTGGAGGTTTAGAGGAGGAGGAGGGGGGGGGGGAGAAGGGGGCAAAGTCGATCAATAAAACACGACATTTTCGATCCGTCGTGAATTACGTAATTTTCCGAATTTATACTCGGAACCTCGATTCGACTCGACTCGACTCGACTCGACGTCTCGTCTTGTATCTTCCAGCTCGGATTTTTCATCGCCGTTCCTTGTCATTCTTTCTCATTCTCGCGACATTTCTCGCGACAAGGATCCATTATTTCTCGCCTCTCAGCCGACTCGAAATTATTGATTTCATCGAAATCGTTTCTTTCGCTCTCCTCCTTCTTTCGTGCTCCTCGCCACTTCACCCACCAAGAACACTGTGTTACGCGCTGCTTCAGTTAATTACTTCGGTTAATCACCATCGTTGCGAGATTGGGACGAAGTTTTAAGCTCGATCGAGGGGACGAATTCTTCTTAATTTTTTTTTAATTCGTTCTCACTTTTTTTTCGTTTTGGTTTCTCGTGGAATTTACAATCGACGACGTGCTTTTCGACGTGCAAATTTTGGGAATTTTACGTTAGCGGAAATCGGTGTGTTTAAAAATTTCTTTATTTTTTTTTTTCATTTTTCGTAAAATTTTGTGGAATTCGTTCAACTAACTAATTTCATCTCTCTGGATCGTAGATAATTTTCGGCAATGTCACGTTTCGTAGATTTTCATCGTGTACCAGGGAATTTTTATCCGGAAAATTCCTCCTCGTTTTGTATGGTATCCGTGATATTTTATCAAATATATTCGACCGACGTGCACTCTCTGTGACGTTCACTTTTAGTAATTTTCATTGAAATGAAATATCGTGAAAGCTTTCATCGTATTCCAGAATTTCATTTCGAAAGATTCTTTATTATTTCTCTTCTTCTCCCCTCCCTATATTTTATTATTTTCCATCGAATTTCGTTTCGAAAATTTCTCATGATTATCAATATGTATTATCACCCATTACAGAATCTTTTCTCTTGGCTATCCATGTATTTTCATCAGACACGTTCGAACGGTATTTCCTAACGTTCTTTACCCAAGTAATTCCCATCGAAATCACGTATCGTAGAATACGTTCGATCGGTGATTCTCGAAGGAGCACCGGAGGATCTCGTCCCACACGATGAGACTCGGTTTCTACGATGCATTTTTCTCGTTCTCCACGTCGATTGGTCCACACGAAAGGCATCCGTAACTGCTGTTGCTACGTGGCTCCACGAGGGGGCCACCTTTAAAGCCGATATTGCGGAACCGAGTATACATATATATATATATGTATATGTATATGTATATATATATATATATATATATATATATATGTATATATATATATATATAATCCAGTGCTTAAAACTTAAAATGAAATTGCGAACGAAATGCTTAAAACTTGAGGGCTCGTGATCTCGACAGCCTCTCCTACGATTTCCTCCGCGAAACCGTGAAAACCGTTTCCAATACTCTTCGCTCCACTTCTGACCTTTCCCAGCCATCGATCGACCTCTTTGCGATTTCTACATCCCTGCCATTACACCGTTTGCTCACCCTATAACAACACAATTCGAATTGTTCTTGAAAAATTCTTCTTTTTTGATATATATATATAGATGGAAATTTTTCTTCTTCTTTCGAGGGAAGAGGAGGATGAGGTTTTTTCGATCACGATAAAATTAATCTCGTGGAAAGATCGGTGGTGAATATTAGAGGGAATTAACGAGAACGACAACAGCAAGGGTGCGAACGATGCGTTCAATATTGAACTTGTCGTCCCAGTTGGCCATTGTTTGAGCATCGTTTCACGACCGTCCCTTCCCCTTCACCGCTCGCCACCGCGAATTATCGAAATCTTTTAACCCTGTTTCACGCATCCCACCCCCTTTTCCCTTGACCACCTATTCTCATTCGAAACCAGGAATCTTTCCATCCGAAATATTCGATAAATCGCGCGGAAATACGAATAATATAAAGGGATCGAAGGAGATAGTTTCCTCATCGATTTCACGTTGAATCAATAATCTCGTCGATATATATATATATATTCAAAAATAATTTTGTTATAACAACTCCTCATTGTTGTAATATTTAATTCCACTTGGCAATATTCAACGAAACGAGTCATCTTCTCTCTCCATTCCGATAGAACAGAAATATTCTATTAATATTATAAACCCATTTTGTTTCTTTTCTTTTTCCAATTAACAACAACACGTATACTCCTATAATTTTCATAAAGGAATCAATCAAAGAGATCGAAGAACGGATGGGAGGAAAATAATTTCTTGCCGACGAACGATAATCCGGATAAATCCGATCCTCTTTCTCGCAATGTGTCGAATTTTTTTTTACAACCGCGTCGAATCGAAAAATTTCATCCTTTGTCGAGTTGAAATTCAATAAGCTTATCAACGGAGGACTTGGAAGGGGGGGAAATAACGAATTAAGTGGATTAAAGGAAATAGTTTGGAGGAGGGAAGGGGGGATTGATCGTTGGGAAAAGGTGTTCGAGGCAGATGCGCGAGAGGAGCGGATAGCGGACAAATTGCAATTCCGGCTCGCAGCTTCTGCAATTGTCGGTTGATGGCCGGTTCCGTGTCGCGGGCTCGTTACAAGCGCGGCCAAAAGGTAATTTCTTAACCGGCGTAATAACACGTATTCCTGTGTACACACATCGGCCGTCGTCGGCCACTTTTCCGCAACTATTAGCCCAATTAGCCCCTCCCCTCCCCCGGCCTCGATGCGCCGCCGTCAACTGTTGCACGCGAGAGCTCTGGCGACGGAATCGACGGATTCGAATCGCGTCTGCCTCGAATCGATCAATTAAACCATTTCGCCACGAATTCGCGCTGTGAACGAATGTCTCTGGAAATGTCATCGGTCGTGGAAGGAGGTGATTTTTTTTCCCGGATGATTGGAATTTTTTTCGTTTGTTTGTTTTTTGTTTTTTGTTTTTTCGACTCGTGGAACTCGTGCACGAATTCTCACCGATTGAAATTCGTCGATGGGTATTGTATCGTGCGTGTTAGTCGTATTGACGAATCGATTTCACGTGATTTCACGTGATTTCGAGAAAGGAATTAGTGTCGTGATAATTTTTAAAGGAAAACTCGTTTCCTCTGTTGATGTTAATTCAATGATTTTTAAATAGTAGTTTTAAATCGTACTTTCTAATTTCTTCTTTTATATTTTATGGTGGAAAAAAAAATTGTTCGAATTTGACCGTTCTTTGTTTCAAATCTAACAGATAATCGACGATGATTGGACGAGTAATTAAATTTTTTTTTCGAAAATATTTCGTCTCGTGATATTTTTCATTTTATATTTGTACTTCGGTCGAAATCTTTTTCCAAGCAATTTATATCTTCTCTCGATCGATGAGTACACACTTATCTCGCCCCCCTTTTTCACACTTTTTATCCCGAATCGGGCGACAATTCTTCTTTTAACACCGATCCCAATTAACCAACAACAATGTTTCAATCGAGATATCCTCTATCATTCTTCTTCTCTCGATTGATCAAAGAATCACGGAGAGAAAACACATTTATCTCCAATTAAAACACGCATTCATCCAAACTCGTCATCCCTCTTCACACCCCCTTCACAACCAATTATACAATTTTCCGGACGTTTAACCACCGACAATATCGATTGAAAAAAAAAAAAGGATCGAAGTTAGAAAATTTTCCAAAACCTCTCACCTCTCTCTTTTCACTTCTTCTCTTTCCTTTCTTCTTTTTTTTCTTTTTTTTTTTTCGATCTCTGGTAATTCGAATCGGTCTCTCGATACTCGGCCGAGAAAATGAATAGAATCGATCGATCGAGGAGGAGGAGGGGGGAGGAAGGAGGGGAAAGTAGTAAATTCACGCGAGTGTTTGGGGGAGGATTGATGAGAACGGCTCTCCTCTCTCTCTTTTTCTCTCTCTCTCTCTCTCTTTCTCTCTGGAACGAGACGACGAGCATCGTTCTTCAACGTTCGACGAAATTGGTGAGTAGAAAACGAATCATTCTTACTCCAGAATTTTTCCACTTTTTGCCTCCTCTCTCTTCTGCGAAAGAATTTAGACGCAACAGGGTGACACGGTAGTGTACGATGCTTACGTATAATATATGAAGTGCAAAGGAGAATTTAACATGGGTGGGAATTGATGGTTTATATAAGAACTGGTGTATAAGAGGGTGGAGGAGAACGGGTAGAGATAAAGAGAGAAAAGATGATATTCTGATGAATTATACATCGTGTCGCGTGTGAGGATCGTGAGAAGATGTTAGGTTAGGTTAGGTTTCGGATATTTCTTTCGTTTAACTTTAAATGAATGAAATGGTTTAAAAATAACAATGGGATTGATTGCGAATATTAAAGTTAAAAATTATCGATCTTTTAATCATATAATGAAATTGAGTTTGAATTAACGAATGGATGTTATTTTATTTAAAATTTTAGTTAATAATTTCCGAAGAGACGAAAGATTATCGGTTAAATTTCAGCGAAAACAAGTTTCTCCGAACTATGCTCGCGACTATAATTTACACGAGCGCAAAACTATTGATCGAAGTTTGAAACAAAAGTTTCTTATAATGAGGCTATATTTGCATATACATACAAGAATAATACATACGTCTAATAATCGTAACAATTTACTAGCAGTTTAAGTTTCTATTAATAACAGTTTATATATTTTATTAATAACCCAATAATATCAACGAAAGCGTTCAACCCCCTTAAACTCTACTTTTAACAAGTCTTTTTCGTCACATTATCGGAATGTCACTCAATATCTCAGTTTTAACAAATTCTTCCCCTTCATGAATATCATATCTATACTTCTAAACAAATATGTTTAAACAAAATTACTCAATCAATACCAACGAATAAAACCAAACCTAAACCCTACTTTTAATTTTAACCCTTTGCACTCTTTAATTTTTTTTTTTTTTATCTAGCAATAATTAACTTAATTCATTTATAAAAAGGATCTAAAAAGAGGATCTCAATAAAATATTATGTAAAGTATTACAAAGTATTACAAAGTATTTTGAAAAAAATTTTAAATTATTTTAGAAACTGCTTGAATAATGCCAAATCTAGCTCGACATTGGAGTTGGTGTAAGAAATGTGATGTCGAGCCACATTCGATATAGGAATCCTAAGGATTAAATTCTTCTCCAATATCGATATCACGTCATCAAAATATCGTTCAACACCACGGAACACAATTCGAATCTCTAAACCCTACTGTTAACAAATCCTTTCTGAATCCTCCTCCGTGAATGTCACAAAATATCGATACTTCAAAACAAAATCACTCAGTAGCAACGAATACACAACCATACCAAACTTCTAAACCCTTTTTTTAATTTTTAACAAATTCTTCTCGACTACCACGAATATATCAATTACTTTTCGCCACGAATACCCACCATGTTACTCAACACCAACGAATACAATTTTCACAAACTCTAGTTTCCTAAACTCTAGTTTTAAAATCCTTTTATGAATCCTCTTCTATGAATACCACAAAATATCAATACTCTGAACAAATACTTTTCTCTCCATTCAAAATATCGATGCCAACAAAAATATAAATTTCTCAAACTCTACTTTTAACAAATTCTTCTCGATTAGAATGTAATCCTCGAAATATACAACGCCTACGAACACCCACCACGAAACCCAATCTTCGAACCCCTTTAAACCCTATTTTTAACAAATTGTTCTTGATTACCACGCTCTAGGAATATATCAACACCTACTTTTCGCCACGAACACCCACCACGTCGCTAGAATGTCACTCAACACCAACAATCTTCATATACCTAAACTCTATTTTTAAATTAAATCCTTCCTGAATCTTCCTTTATGAATACCATAAAATATCAATACTTTGATTAAATACTTTTCTCGCCATGAATGTTCAATTACAGCTCTTGGAATATATCAACACTTTTCGCCACGAACCACGTCACTAGAATGTCACTCGACACCAACGAATACAATCTTCATACCCCTAAATCCTAATTTTAACAAATCCTTCCTGAATCCTCCTCTATAAATACCACATGTGAATAAATACTTTGATCAAATACTTTTCTCGCCATGAACGTTCAATTACAATCTTGGAATATATCAACACCTACTTTTCACCAGAATGTCACTCGATACAATCTTCACACAAAATATCAATTCTTCGAACAAATACAACGCTCTAGGAATATATCAACACCTACTTTTCGCCACGAACACCCACCACGTCACCAGAATATCATTCAATACAATCTTCACATCTCTAAACCCTATTTTTAAATTAAATCCTTTCTATTTTTAAATCCTTCTTGAATCCTTCTCTATGAATATCACAAAATATCAATTCTTTGAACAAATACAACGCTCTAGGAACATATCAACACCTACTTTTCATAAACTCTATTTTTAAATTAAATCCTTACTACTTTTAATTCCTGAATCCTCCTCCATGAATACCACAAAATATCAATACTTCGAACAAATACTCCCCATGAACATTCAATTATAACTCTTGAAATATATCAATACCTACTTTTCACCATGAACGTTACACCAGAATGTCATTCAATAGAATCTTCCCCTAATTTTAACAAATCTCTCTTGAATTCTCCTCCTTAAATACCACAAAATATCAATACTTCGAACAAATACAACGCTCTAGGAATATATCAACACCTACTTTTTGCCACGAACATCCACCATGTCACCAGAATATCATTTAACACAATCTTCACACATCTAAACTATTTTTAAATTAAATCCTTTCTTTTTATTTTTAAATCCTTTTTTTTTAAATCCTTTTTATTTTTATCCTTTCTATTTTTAAATCCTTCTTGAATCCTTCTCTATGAATATCAGAAAATATCAATTCTTCGAACAAATAAAACGCTCTAGGAATATATCAACACCTACTTTTCGCCACGAACACCTACCACGTCACCAGAATATCATTTAACACAACACATCTAAACCCTATTTTTAAATTAAATCCTTTTTTAAATTTTTTTAAATCCTTTTTATTTTTATCCTTTCTATTTTTAAATCCTTCTTGAATCCTTCTCTATGAATATCACAAAATATCAATTCTTCGAACAAATACAACTACTCTAGGAATATATCAACACCTACTTTTCGCCACGAACACCCACCACGAAACACAACCTTCTCTAAAACCCCCTTAAACCCTACTATTAACAAATTCTTCTCTACAATATCCTCCTCGCAATATACCAACACTGACTCTTCATCACGAACCCCAAAAATATCCCTGGAACCTTCCAACCCCCTAAACACTTTTAACACTTTTAAATCCTCCCCACCGCGTGAAAACAACCTCCTCGTGCGTACAAATGTTCCATGCAACGTGTCAAACCTCCTTCCCTCTCCTTTCCACCCCCCCCTCCCCGTTACAATATCGCGAAGCAGGAAGAGAGAGCCGAAACAAATTTCATCCGCCGCGGTTCATCCACGATAATCGCGCGCGCCCCTTTCGAGGCCAAATATCAGCCGGCCAGCCATCCTGCGTGCACGCGATGCATTATCTCGCGCGGGGCTGCTGGCCGCGCGTCACACACCGGGGGCGGAAGATCGATAGACGCGGATAGACGCGGATAGACGCTTAATACGAGCCGTGTCGGGGCAGTTACGAGGAAATTACGCGACGCGACCCTCGAGTGGGAAGGAATAGATCGTTTCTCCCCTCTCTCTTCTCTCTTTTGAAATTATTCGAAATTGTTTGAGCGTGATAGGGGAGCGGATTGGGTTGGGGATGGAATTTTTGTTTCGACAAGTTGAAAGTATTGTTTCGAAAGTGTGTTTCTTTTTCTGGGTGTACGAGTTATTCCGTGATGGAAAAATAGGTAAAGAAAAATAACGAGAAATTTAGAAAATCTAGTTTTGAATATATTTAAGTAGAATTTTCAAATTTTTTTCGAAAAGTTTGAGTATCAGTAAAAGTTTGTATATCATCGTGGATTCTATTAAATTCTCCATGTAAAAAAAGATTCTCAGGATTTCGAAAATTATAATCCTCTGTTTTAATACTATCATAATTTTTAAGTTCCCAGAGAGATAATAACAAATTTACAAGTTTACGAGAATTTTCTCTTCGAATCGTTCAAATATTAACTTTTGCGACAAATTATACAGGACACCCTGTATATTCCTCTATGTACGAATGTACATGCCTGCGTTCTTGACGGTTATAACGGAGTCGTTGCAAGGCTTCGAAACGTAAAGCACCCCCCGGGAAATTGAATCGACGCTAGCACGGGTGCACACTGGTAAATAGATTTCATCTTTCTCTATTGCCGCTCGACATTTTTTTTCTCTCTTTTCTTCTCTTTTCCCTCTCTTTCTTTTCTTTTCCTTTTTCTTCTTTTCTTTTTTCTTTTTTTGTCATTCATTCTTCCCTCCACCCTCTTTGTTTCGAGGATGGATGGAAAGGGGAGGGAGGGGGGAGGGGGGTGGACGAGACTAAGGAAATCCAATTTGTTCGGATTGCTAAATGTCTCGCCGGTGTTGCATGCGATGCAAACACCGAGGGGTCAGCATAATCTTGGGAAAGTAGCGGAGATTAGAGTTGAAAGGCTCGATTATCTGATATCCCCCTCTCCTTTCCTTCCTTTCTTCTTTCTTGGCAAATTCGTCTTCGAGGCGTTCGATTTTTATCGAAATTCGCTCGAGTTGTTATCTCATTCTCGCGATCTACGATCAAATCGCGATCCTTCTTCGATATTTCTTGGCCGCAAATCCAAGTTTAGTTAGAGTTAAGACGTTCGATTGATTATTTTGATCTTTGAAAATTCTCTCGAAATTATCACGATATCCTTAGGATTGAATTTTTAATCCTGCGATAGATTTTTCTTCCTTTTTATATATTTCCAAATTTTTAATGTAAAATTGGAAAAAAAAACTATGAAACTTTCGTGCCTATTCCCCTCCAAATATTTTCTTGAAAAATA